CTTTGACGACTGACATGTCAATGAGAAGTTGATGTAAAAATCTAGGAAAGGAAAAGATCGTGGAAGGCAATGGCTAAATCTAAATCCCAATACCTTAAGGCCCTGTTTGATTGGCGAAATTTTTCAGGAAACTAGAAATTTTTTTTCCGTTTTCCATCTTTTGCGCTGTTTGACAGCTTAAATTATCCACGAAAAATATTTTCCCACCCCGCCTGCCACATCAGCATTTTCCATATTTTCCATGAAAATATTTTCCCATCTTTTTGGTGGGAAAATATTTTCCAGCCGGCTGCTCAATTTTTTACTTTTATTTTTTGGTAATGGAAACAAATGCCATAACCAATTGTAATTTTTTTTTCACTTTAATGGACAATTTTCATGTAAAATAAAGTCAAATGAATACTAAATTTTGATTTAAAAAATGATTTTTTAGGGAACAAATTTTTTTCCTTTTTGGCAGTGGAAACAAATTTTATAACTAATTGTGGAAAAAATATCACTTTAATGTACAATTTCCATGTAAAACAAAACCAAACGAATAGAAAACTTAAAAAAATTTCGGATGGAAAATTATACCAATCAAACACATTTGAAATCATTTTTTCTACAAAATATTTTCTAGGTAATAAAATATTTTCTTTATCCCCATTTTACACTCGTACAATCGAACGGGCCCGAACAGTGAGAGCAGGTCGCCGGTAAAAGAAACTTCCCGTTGGACTCTATTAATTTTGAAAAATGTCACAAAAATAGACGGCAGAGATTCAAACGAGCCATAGATCCCATCCGTCCATGGGCAGTAGCAACCTTGAAGGCTTGAAAGTTGAACCCAATGATCATAACCCTCGTAGAAAATAAACTTTTTAAGTACCGTTTTTTCCTCTCTCTAAACACAGTCACAAATTACTCCTCTCTCTCAAATTCAGCCTGTAGCAGATTGTTTACTCGTTCTGAAATATTTATAAAAAGAGATATATACGCTGTGTTGCGCGCTGAATTGATTCAATTGAATTTGGGAAGCTCGTTACTGTAAGTTTTACCTTTTTGTTTAAATTAAGTTAAATTCGAAGTTTTAATATATTTTTTTCATGTTGGAGTATGACATATATAAGAGTTCCGTGATTAGAACCCTAGTTGAGATGAATTTTTTATACAAAGTTAGAGAATTTGAAATTATAAGATTAAATTTGTGGTCACGTCCATTATATTTTTGATGGACAATTCCATCCCTTGATTTTCTATCTCAGCCAGGTAAGCTTGACTATTTTTCTAAGTTAAGTTTTAAAATCGTTTTAATCTATATGTTCACGTTGAATTTTATGGTCGAGCTATTTAGAAATTTTGTGATCACAACCATATGTGTTAGGATTTTTTTGTTTAGAATTGTAGAATTTGATGTTTTAAGATTTAAATTAGTGGTCACAATTTTATTTAAATTTCCAAATTCTTGATTTTTTAGCTTTTGCTGAGGTTGAGTTTTCTGTCTATTGGAATTATTTCATTTTTTTTTTTTGCACTCAACAGATTTGTATTTTTCTCTCCACGAGATTTGTATTTTTCTCTCCACGAGATTGACTTCTATGATTTTGATAATTGATCTGAAATTCGATGTTGAATGGATACTGTCTATTTTCACTTGAATTGGTGTCGCCGCGGACTTGTCTACTTTTTACTTTGAGCATAAAATTTGTGTAAGCTCAAGAAGTTATCATTGAAGTTTGAAAAGCAATTGATTACAATTTCTTTAAGTTTTCCCCAAGCCAAAGTTGATAGTAAAACATGAGTGGGAATGATTGATATTTGTTGAAGAATTTATTATTAGCATTTAGTACTTCCAAAGCACATTTTGAATTTGCTGTATTGAGAAAACTTTGTGTGCGCAAACTCTGCACGTGCCACAAGGAACAAGAATTTTTGAATATGGTTGGGGTCCACTGCTGAATAAGTTTGTTTTTCTTGGGCAAAAATGCATTTTAAGATATCATGTTTAAACTTTTTAATTTTACTACATTTGGTATTTAAAATTTGAATTTTTTCATTTCCCCCTGCAGTCATGGATATATGTTAGTTGCCACCTGTCACATTGTGTTGAAAATTTTATAATGAATTTTGGAGCTCACCAATCCTAGAAGTCGATTCGTGGTATTTAAAATTTGAGTTTTTGTCATTCCCCCGCGTAGTCATGGGTTTTTTAAATGTTAGTTGCGACATGTCACATTGTGTTAAAATTTTTATAATGAGTTGTGTAGCCCACCAATCCTAGAAGTCGTTTTGTGGGATTTTAAAATTTGAGTTTTTCATTTTCCCGCGCGGTCATGAGTTTATTAAATGTTAGTTTCCACGCATCACATTGGTTAAAACTTTAATTGTAGGACACCGAGAAAGAAATAAAAATTTTGAACCTTGGCAGTCTGTTCAACGAAAAATTGGCTTCATGTTCTAATGAGGAAAATTTCTTACAGATGCAAGCTTTCCTTAAATATTCAAGTTCTTCACAAATTTTGGTTTCCCTGAAATAAGATGCCTTGATTGTTCATTGGATAAAGTTGATGGTTTCAGAATACCTATTAATTTTTTACATCTCAAGCATAGTTGCATTGCTTGTTTACGTCCTAACATTTTTGTCATCTGAACTTCTTCGCTCTTAACCTTTGTCTTTATCCTAAAATAAGTTAGTGCCTAACTCATTCTAGGGTAGCATATAATGATTTGGGGAGGAAAATCTGAAGAAAATTGCCGACATGTGGGAATCGGGGTATTCAGATTTGCCTGTCTGTCACACAAATATGGAAAGTGATACAGCAAGCACCACTCCGTCAGATGGCTCCAGAGATTGTCTACAAGGAGTTCAGCCTTTGCACGGGTAACTTTCTGAGAGCACATGAAATGATTATTTTGCTGGTCGTTAAGTATTCATTTTGTTTCATCAGGTTATCTACTTTTGCTATATTATGTCACAACTTGGTGATAAAAAAGGTCCATTTGCTCGGCATAGTGAGTGCTCCATTTATAGTACATTAAAAAAATCGTTTCTTGATTCATATGAGTTTTGCATGATTATCAAATAGGAGGCGAGGTAGGTGTGCTTTGCCTAGATGCAACATATACATGATTTGTTGATTCTTCGAACACATGATCCTTGTGATGTTAAATTCACTGGTTTACACTTAATGGTCCTTAGTTTTTGAAAAAGTATTCTGGAAAACATCTACTTTGCTTTTCTTTTAGGTCAAACTGATGACCAACCACTCAAAAGTATAGAGTAATAACTGAATCCGCATACTGTGTGGAGTTTTTTGCTACCACAAAGATCAAATTATGCAATTTTTTTTGCAGGAGAACAAGTGGACCCACAAGGCGTTCCACAAAGGGACAATGGACTCCAGAAGAGGTAAATTGCCATTTTCTTCTAATTTTAAATGGTATTAGCAACTTGAGTTGTGGAGAATAAATTTATTCCCAAACCAGCCACCATTTTTTAGACAAGTGAGGACAACTTTGGCTTTGCTAAAGGTGTGACTTGTATAGTTGTAAAATGTTTAAATTTGGAAGGCAGAGGGCACCTTATGTTCCATTTCTAAGTGAAGGCTCTCTCTCACCCAACTACACCACCACAAACCACGTTATACATTCACTTTTATTATACAATTATTAAAACGGTGTGTGCTTCTCTCCGGGTTTCTTGTCATTTAGATGACTACAATAGGACCAACCTGTAACTTGATTTTCTTTTTCTTTTCTTTTAATTTGTGATTCCAACATGATTAATTTTTTCCCTACAGGATGAGATACTGCGCATGGCTGTTCAACGTTTCAAAGGAAAAAACTGGAAAAAGATAGGTAGGAAAAAGAATTGAAGCTTCTCTCCTTTACCACTTGTTTAACAAGAAAAAGACATGTCTGATTAATCTCCGCCCTTTTGTTTTTACCTATTATTTCTAACATCACAACTTTTGTTCATTGATTTTCTAAATATCATTTTGTAATCATGTTGAACTAGCTAGCTAGCAAAATTTTTATTCAATTTCCAAATCTTCTTATAGGGTAACACTGTGTAGTATGTTCAGCCTTGGAATGCATGTGACTATAGGATAAGACATGGCATGAAAATTTTTTTATATTTAGTATGGACATTAATGGTGATGGTTGGATTCTGAAGTTTTTAGTTTCTATGGACCTAAACAAAGAAAGTTGGTCCAGACTATACAGAGACTGTTTTGAGCTAGGGATGCATTACTTCAGAACATTATTTGTTTATAACAATTTTGGGGACAGTTTGCCTTGTATTATTACAACCAAGTTTGCCGTTTGGAACTAGTATTTTACAGTATATGGTCATAAAAACTTGCTAATTGTTCAAGCAATTTGCATGGGGATGTCATTAATTAAATCAAAGAATATTGAAAAAGTCTCCCCCCTTTTCCAAATCCATGAATTTCTTAAGGTTATAGGAACTTCCAACTATGTCAGGGAAAGAATCAGTTCTACATATAATAATTCAGTAAATCCTTGATTAATTTTCTCAGATAAGTGCAAGTTCCATGCATTTGTCTGGTAAAATTTCTTGTGACCTTTTTAAGTAGGAATATCTGCACAGAAATGATCCATCATGGCTTGACAAGAATATGGAGATAAATGGAATCGAGTAGTTTGCATATAATTGAGTTTATCAATACTCTTCCATGCACAAAACTATAATAACATTTGATATGCGAGGAGAATTATGAGATTCCTTTTTGATGCATTGAAAATTAAAATTTCTACATGATCCCACTTAGAATTGACACCACGCCCATATCATGTATGCATCACACAAATGGCCTATTCTGCTGAGGATGAGTTGTGGCCTTTTGCTTTTACCAGTTACCACGTCATATACTTTAATAAGTCTTTCTAATGTGGTTTAGATTGTCAAGTAGTTTTTCTCAGCGAAAATGACAATCAATTTCTCACATTGTAATTTTTTTATTGGCATAATTCTGACCTTAAATTTCTATAGCCTACATTATATAGCATAGACAATACAATATATTTAAGATTGTGCTCTATGTAGCGGAGTGTTTCAAGGACCGAACAGATGTACAGTGCCTACACAGGTGGCAGAAGGTTCTTGATCCAGAACTTGTCAAAGGTCCTTGGTCAAAAGAGGTTAGGAAACTTTTATTTATTTATTCCTTCTGGATTCTTCTCAATTAAATTTAATATTGTTTCATTCTGGTATAAAAAATCCTAACTCTCTGTTTTGTGGCATATGATTACCCCACTTATATAACTTTTAATATGTGATCAGGAGGATGAAATGATAATCCATTGTGTGAACAAATATGGGCCAAAAAAGTGGTCCACCATTTCAAAGCATCTTCCTGGACGTATTGGAAAGCAATGTCGTGAAAGGTAAGCTTGAAGGAGCTTCTTTCGGTCTTTGTAGCTCTTCAGTGGACCTCTTCGTGTTTATTTACAGATTTCCACTGTTAAATAACTTCAACTAATGATTTTCCAGATCCTTGTATCTCTGTTTCAATTTTCTTTTAAATGCACTTCTGCTAGTGTTGGCTGGTTCATTCTTATATATCAATGAAGGCGCAAATTTCATTTCTTGTGATTAAACAGCTCTGGAAATTTTTTAGTATTTTTGTCACCGTCATCTCCTTTATTTGTTTATGCCATGCATTTCACAGGTGGCACAATCATCTCAATCCTGCCATAAACAAAGATGCTTGGACACAAGAAGAGGAATTGGCTCTGATTCATGCCCATCAAATTTATGGAAACAAGTGGGCAGAGTTAACAAAGTTCTTGCCTGGGAGGTAAAGTGATATTAAATAGTTGCATGAAGAATATTTTACTGTATTAGAGAATAAGAACAGCCGCCATATATCATATATTTACCATCTCATTTATTCAGTCTATGAGTCTGAGTTGCTTTTATATACTCGTTTGCGCCATTAATACGGAAATTTACCACCTTAAGTTCTGAACTATTTGTCTATATGATACCAGGACCGATAATGCAATAAAAAATCATTGGAACAGTTCTATCAAAAAGAAATTGGACACATATTTATCATCAGGCTTACTTTCACAGTACCAAGGTCCGCCTATGGTCAGTCATCGAAATCAATCAGCGGCATCCTCTTCTTCAAAGGCACAACAGAGTAGTGAAGATGATACTGTTGTTAAAGACAGAGTAGAAATGGAGGAAGCTTCTGAATGCAGCCAAAGTTCAAATCTGGCTGGTTTGTCTCAATCTACAAATGACATGATCAATACAATTATACGTAATAGAAAGGACTTTGGAGTCAGTGAAGAATCCAATCATAAAAAAGATCCATGCTCCAGTTCAATGACATGTTCTGAAGATTATTGCCCTGCTTTACCAGACATTACATTTTCGATGCGGGAAGTGCCTTTAGAAATAAGTGACTCTTCAAAGTTTGTTGAACATGACTTCCCTTTAGATTGGGGGCCTTTTGCAGGGAAAGATTGGCAGCTTAATCCAAATGAGCTACCGGACATATCTTTGCTGGATCTGGGGCAAGAAGCATCAGGACTACTCAAGCAAGCTATAAATGGCAGCAACAACCATGAAAATACAACCTTTCCACCAGAAGCTTCTATGGAATTGAATGCTTCTACCGCCATGCGGAACATGGTTATGAGTTCTGATATGCCTAATCTTATAATTAACTCAGATTGCAGGGTGATGTACCCAGAAAGGGGACGTGATGGATGTTATCCTGCTCAAAATGTTTGCGGTGGCATTGATGGATCTGTAGATTCATTAATTCATCAATCTTCAAATTTCACGATCCCTGAAGAGGAAACTTTTGCTTCACAGTCTTGCTGTTCTACGAGTTCTGACATGTTGGGAAGCTCATTTAGTAAAACTTTCCCCGTTCCAAGTGAACTTCCTCCGGAAGATGGTTTAGATATGTACAGTATTGATCCTTATCAGTTGAATGATTCCTTACATGGAAATGTGGAGCAGGAGTATGTTCTTCCAAGAAAACATGATGATTTAATCTATTCCAAGGAGTCTGGTTGTTTTCCTTGTAAACATGGATCGGAGCAGGCAAACTGTTCACCAAAGCTAGTTCCAGTTAATGATTTTTCCTTAGCATCAAATGATACTCAAGGCTGTTCTTCCAGGGACAAAGATCCAGTTCTAAAAGATGAACAGAAGGATTGTGGAGCTTTGTTCTATGAGCCTCCTCGCTTTCCAAGCTTGGATCTTCCATTCTTTAGTTGTGATCTTATTCAACCTGGCAGTGATATGCAGCAAGAGTACAGTCCACTTGGCATCCGCCAACTGATGCTCTCTTCCTTGAATCCATATAAATTGTGGGATTCGCCATCTAGGGACGATAGTTCAGCTGCTCTTCTGAAAAGTGCTGCCAAAAATTTTACAGGCACACCATCTATACTGAAAAAAAGACACCGCGATCTGGTATCTCCTCTGTCAGAAAACAGATGTCAGAAGAAGCTTGAAAGTGACTTGAGGCAGGAATCACTTTCCAACATGTCAAATGAATTTTCTGGATTAGAGGTCATGTTTGATGAATGTGTAGACCAGAAAGGACATATGTTGTCATCATCTCCAGATAACAGAAGAAACTCTGAATCTAAATGTGTAGAAAAAGAAAATGTGAACCCTGATCTTGAAGAGGGGAGGAAAGAGGGCAACAAAAGCGTTGTAATTTCAGGAAGCAGAACGTTACAGAAAGAGTTAAACAGCATTGAGGTTATGAACAAGATAAAAGAACAGAGTGCTGTTATGGATGTCAAAAATATGGCTGGAGGCAATGATTCGATAAAAACTGTGAGTATTTTTTCCATCGCGTCTCTACTAGATGCAACTACTTTGTTAGGAACCTTCTTTTAATGCTACTAACATGCTTATCTTAACGATCAGACCTTCTTAGTTAAATCATTTGCCTAGATGTTTAGGTCCCTAGATATAATAATATATCGCAGTACTTATAACCATAGATATTGCATGTTTATGAACTTATTTAACCATTCGGTTCAGCAAACAAGGCCTTTGCAGCTATACTTATCATGGACTGCACAAGACAGGAAATAACTTGGTTAAATGACCTTCCTGCATATTTTTACGTTGAGGGAATTTCTAAGACGTAATGTTTTATTGTTTCATTTATGACAGGTTAAAGATTCTTCTGGAATCCTTGTTGAAAATGATATGAATGACCTGCAATTCTTTTCTCTGGACCATTTCGCGACCAAGAGTGATAAAGAAATTGGCCCAAGTACTAGAATTCCCGGAAATAAATATTCTATAAGAGCAGATACAGTATTAAAACATGGGGATATCGTACCTTCATCTGGGACTCAATTTTTGTCTGTTGTTTGCTCTCCTCGAATGTGTGCGAACAAGGATGGCTCTAATTTGGTCATAACTACATCCATGCAATCCACTAGTCCCTTGGCCATTAAAGCTGAAAGTTCTAGCAATGTATTAGGTGTTGAAAACAATAGCATGTAAGTTGAGATAATCCGCATATTCTGATTCAGTTTCGTTTCATCGTTTGCGTTCATTTGCTAGAAATCTAGCTGTGTTTCTCATTTCCATTTTTGTATTGATTTGTGTTTCTAGATTTGTAGACACACCATTGAAAAAGAGCTTTGAATCTCCTTCAGCATGGAGATCCCCTTGGTTTATCAACTCTTTTGTACCAGGGCCCAGAGTTGATACAGATATAACAATCGAGGTATTGGAAAATGGTTATGGTCAAATAATTTGTTTAAGCTACTACATAAATATATCTTCTCGTTAACTCTGCATTTCTTATTCTTTTAGGACATCGGCTATCTTACGAGTCCAGGGGACCAAAGTTATGATGCCATTGGGTTAATGAGGCAGTTAGGCGAGCAGACAGCAGCTGCATTGGCAGATGCCCAGGAGATTTTGGGAGAAGAAACTCCTCAAACAATACTGAAGGAAAGATGCTTAAAAAAACTGGAAGAAGAAAAGGATAACAATAGCTGTCCGACTGGCTCGACTTCAAATGTCTTGGTATGAGTGTTCTTGTTTATCTTATTTCTCTTAGTTCTAAATTGTGCTTAACATGATCCCGATCACTGCTTTTCCTCTTTCTGTACATTACGATTACATGTTATGCTGCTCCTGTTTGGACTCCATTTCTCCGAAAATGCATTTTTTCGAAACTTATTTTTAACCACACATTCTTCCATAAATTAATGTTTCACGTAAACATATTGTCCAAAAAATCACTATTCCAAACACATTTTCTCCCAAAATCTCATTTTTTATGGAGCCCGTACGTGGCAAAATTGATACATCTTTTTCCTAGTGCTGTAAAGTCATCAACAGTTTATATTATGATATGCGTATACTACAATGTTATGTAATCTTGCTTATGTGAACTCCTGACCAGTTGAGTCTTCAACCCTCGGCCCCAAAAGAAAGACCGCGTCACAAAGTTGCAAATAGTTGTTTACCATGCTCCTGTTACTAAATAAAAAGGAGATGCATTTCCATCATTTGGTGGTGAAATTAGTTTCATCAAAGTAACTCAAGCTGAAAATAACAAGAATTTTCTTGTGAAAATTTTAAGCTTCTTGAGCTCACGTATTACTTTCATGAGGAACCAGTCTAAAATGTCATTAGATTTACACTTGAGAGGACTACATATTGCTTTTTCAATGAACGTGTGCAATGTGCTTGCTGACATTTCAAGATTATTTATATTTATCCTATCATAAACTTATTTGGAACAATCCTTTACAGACGGAGAGGCGCGCCCTTGATTTTAGTGACTGCGGGACACCAGGGAAGGAAGCTGGAAAGTTGTCTAGCAGCATTGTTTTATCAAGTTCCTCTTCCCATCTCTTGAAGAGTTTCAGGTGAAAGGCGCCAATGGCCGAGGCATTGTACTGTAAAATCTGAGTGTCTATACATGTGTCTCATTTGATTAATGTATGAATTGATTTATTCAGTTGTCTGAATTATGTCGAAGAATGTGGAGTTCTTATTTTAATTATCTATAAGGTATTGTTTTGCTGAACTTTTATCATGATTGTCTTGTGTTGACCTTGAAAAATTTCTCTAATACGTGGCCAACAGAATAAGTCTTCGAGTTAGCCCTTCCCTGCACATGTAGCACGCCGTTAGTCACTCGTGGCCTTTCTTGGAAGGGTTGGGAGCTGCCACGAGCACTCCGACGGCCAAGTCAGTTTATAGTTCAACCGGAAAAGGTTCACCGGCGGTAGAACACTCGCCGGGAAGTGGTTGATAAAGCGTATAGTGATAGAAGTGTCAATATTTAAGGGGGAGTATGATACTCAAATTTGCAATGTAGTAGAAGAAAATCTTGATTCGAGTCCTCCTACTAGCACAAGGAGTGGATATTTATACTAAACATGGGAAGAAGAGAGCCGTTGAATGAGGAGACACGTGAAGCAAAAGGTGTTCTTCTAGGGACAAAGATCAAGTTCTAATTTTTGCAATCCCGGAAATGGTATTTTTGCTTCACGGTCTTGCTGTTCTATGACTTCTGACATTTTGGGAAGCTCATTTAGTAAACCTTCCCCGTTCCAAGTGAACTTCCTCCTGAAGATGGTATAGTTATGTAACATATTGATCCTTATCAGTTGAATTTTTCCTTATATGGAAAAGCGGAGCAGGAGTCTGTTCACAAAGGTGGTTGTTTTTGCTGTGAACATAAATCTGGGCGGGCAAACTGTTCACCGAAGCTAGTTCCTGTTAATGATTTTGTCTTAGCTTCAAATGCTACTCAAAGCTGTTCTTCCAGGGACAAAGATCCACTTCTAACAGATGAACAAAATGATTGTAGTGCTTTATTCTATGACTCTCCTTGCTTTCCATACCTGGATATTCCATTTTTCAGTGGTAATCTTGTTCAACCTGGCAGTGATATGCAGCAAGAGTATAGTCCACTTGGCATTAGCCAACTGATGATATCTTCCTTGAATCCATTCAAATGGTGGGATTCGCCATCTAGGGAAGATAGTTCAGATGCTGTTCTGATAAGTATTGCCAAAACTTTTACAGATGCACCATCTATACTGAAAAAAAGACGCCACGATTTGGTGTCTCCTCTGTCAGAAAACAAAAGTCAGAAGAAGCTTGAAAGTGACTTGAGGCAGGACTCACTTTCTAACCTGTCCATTGAATTTTCTGGATTAGAGGCCTTGTTTGGTGAATGTGTAGACTAGAAAGTACTTGTGTTGTTATCATCTCCAAATAACAGAAGAAGCTCTGAATCTACTTGGGTAGAAAAAGAAAATGTGATTCCTGATTTTGAAGAGGGGAGAGAGGAGGGCAACAAAAGCTTTGTAATTTCAGAAAGCAGAATGCTACAGAAAGGGTTAAACAGCAGCGAGGTTATCAAGATAAAAAGAAAAGTGCCATCATGGATATCAAAAATATGGCTGGAGGCAATGATTCGGTAAAAACTGTGAGTATTTTTTCATTGTGTCTCTACTAGATGACAGAAGGGGTGATTGTGGACCTTTGGATCTTGAAAATGCAACTACTTTTTTAGGAACGTTTTTTTAATGCTATTGGCATGCTTATTTTACCTATCTGGCCTTGTTAAATCATTTGCCTAGATGTAATAATATATCACAGTATGCATTTTATGAACTTCAAGCCGAAAATAAGAAGAATTTTCTTGTTGAAATACTTGAACTTCGTGTATGACTTCTTATGATAAGACCATTCTAAAATGTCATTAGATTTACACTCGAGAGAACTGCATATTTTTTCTTCAATGAACTTGTTGCAATGTGCACCATCTTTTCCACTGTAGCAATAGATAGTTATACCCGCCCCCTCCTGCCCACACAGGTATATGCTATCAAAAACTTATCTGGACAAAACCTTTGCAGAGGCGCACCCTTGATTTTAGTGAGTGTGGGACACCGGTGAAGGAAGCTGAAAAGTTGTCTAGCAGCATTGGTTGCTCAAATCCCTACCTCCACCTGGAGCTTCATGTAAAAGGCGCTCATGGCCGAGGCATTGTGCTGTAAAATCTGAGAGTCCATACATATGCCTCCTTAGATTAGTGTATGAATTGGTTTATTCCGTTGGAAAGGCGCTCATGGCCAAGGCATCGTGCTATGAAATCTGAGAGTTTATACATGTCTCCTTATACTGTCGTTTTAATTTTGTCGAAGTATGTGGAGTTATTATATGAATTATCTGTAGGTATTGTTTTGTTGAAGTATTATCATGGTTAAATCTTGGCCTTCACAATGTAACTTCTACTTCAACGATAATTTCAAATGGCGTATTTGCAATATATTTTGGGCTTGTCTATTATGTATTCCATCAATTACCATATTTCTAAACAAATATTTTGTATGTAGGCATACATATTAAATCAAGAAAACCGATTATTCTCTTAATAATTTTCTCCATTCTTTATTAATTTTAATGGCAAACGTAGTTTTCGAGGACACCTTGATAAACAGCACACAAGAGTACAGCTTCATAATGTCATTATATCAATACATATGAAGATCATTCGCTCTAATATTTGATAACAACTTTAACACAGCTAGGATGCTTCAGATACTCCCATGCCTTGTTGATTTCTTCGAGTGAAACTTCATGGGTCAATAGTTCATCCAGCTGAATTTCCTATTCAGTCAAAATGTACAAGAAGGCATAATCAATGATTTTTTTTTTCCAATTTTTAGCGGTATTAATGGACGACATAAGTCATTGAAATTGAAGAAAATTAGAATTAGAGAGGCCCCTTGTCCAACAAATAATTTCAAGTGACGGACCTCCTCATCTGACATCTCGAGACAATGTTCGTTAACAAGCAAATGAGATTCATTTTTCATTAAAACCCAAACATGAGCACAATTTTTTAGGTGTACATCATACGAAGTTGAGGTGACGTGTTGAAGATATATTTTCTTTTTTTAAACAACTTAATTTTTTAGACGAGAATGTTGAACGGATAGAGCTTCTAGAATTCATCACGAAAGGGTTCATACCTTATTTACACATTTATCGACTATTTTAGGGAGGTCTGTTTGAGGTCTTACTCCACCATAAATGGACCCCTTAATTGTCCTACCACACAAGAGGGGAATGTATTTGAGCTCCCCACTTAAATGAAGTCCTGCACCAATGAAAACTATTGTCCCAAGACCCTGTTTAAATGCCACAGTTTAAAAGAAATTAGTCTTATATTATGTTATGATCAATAGGAAAGCCATTAGTGATACTGATACTGAAATTGACAAGGAAAATTTGAGGAATTTTACCACTTTGGATCCCTCAATTGCTTCATTAAGCAGGTCTGGAACTCCAGTGCACTCGTAACAGTAATCCACACCCAGCCCACCTGTAGTATCTTTGATCAATTCTGATACAGGTTTATCAGATTCTTTTGGATTGATAAATTCAGTCATTCCAAAGGCTTCTCCTTTCTTCTTCTTCAAGTTGTTTATGTCGATCCCAATTATCCGAGAAGCTCCATTCATTCGTGCCGCCTCTATCACCTGCGTTATTTCCAGTAAGGTTCATTGCTAATAAAATTTTGAAATGTATGGATGTCATCATGATCAATGAAGATGCGTACAGCTAGCACTATTGTAAGGGCATGTTTTGTACACAGTACGGAAACATCCCATCATGTACAGTCTAGTGTACCAAACACTCCATAAGTGTATAATGTTATCACTGATAAAATGGAGATGTGTAGTACTATCAGTACATAAGGGCATGTTTTATACACAGAATTGAACAACAATGGTCCAATGGACAAGATCCAATCTAGCACCGTCCAATATACCAAACATGCCACGAGTCTATCACTGATTCACTATTGCAGTGGATGTGTACTGCTATCATTATTGCAAGGGCATGTTTCATACACTGTAGTGAATAATCTATACAGTGCAAGGCACTGGGTTTTAGCCTCTTTTCCTTTCCTAATACCTTCCAATCTTGTCTACTCCAGTATATGAAACATGCCACGAGTAAATACATGTACTTACTCCGAGTCCAACAGCACCAACACCAATAACAGCAACAGTTGAGCCCTTTTCAATAGTGACTTCCCTCCAGGCAGATCCAAAACCTGTGGTGAAACCACAGCAAAGGAAACTTGCATGTGCAAGAGAAACACGGGGATCAACCTTGACAGCAAAATTTGCATCGATAACAACATATTCAGACCATGTACCACAACTAAAATGGTGATATACTATCTGATCTCCAATGTGCAATCTTGATGTGCCATCTGGCATTAGGCCAGTGAAATTTAAGGGATATTTGTGGCATAAATTTGTCTTCCCAGATTTGCAATTCAGACATTCCCCACATTCTCCCAGATAGAGTGGCATCACTATATCTCCTTCCTTCAGATTTGTGACTCCTTCTCCCACACTCTCTATCATGCTGCATTTGAAATTTTTGTATCATATGATCATGATGTTTAAGTTTAGTTCAGAAATAACGGCATTTAGCAGATTAAAATCCTTGATTTTGGGTTAGATGAAAATTGTTTTACAGATAAAATCTTCATTTATGTCTCATTTGAAACCAAAATATGTCTACTTGAGGTCGGACCTGAAAAGGTCACATGAGCTCAAATTCTTATAACAAATGCAAACTTATTATTTGTTTTGAATTCCGTATATGCATGTTTTCGAGCATGTACTTTGATTTTAAGCATGCAGAATTTTCCATTTAGGATACGTTTATACTCTGGATTCAACACGAATAAGAGCAAGTTTGGGTAAGCCTAAAGAAGTGAAAGTACTATTTTGGAAAGTAAAGACTTATCTCGAACAAGTCTTTGAAATAAAATTTCTGAATAACTAACTCAAAAGTAACTTAAAAGCTTAAAACATGTTCTATGAACAAGGGACGTATAAATTTGTCAGTTGAATCCCAGTATCAAACATGCTACTGTTCTATCCATAAAGCATTAAAGGTAGAGGGAGAGAGAGGGAGAGAGAGATTTACCCAACTCCTTCATGTCCAGGTATCCGAGGAAACAGAGGCTGCAATAAAAGGACCCGAAAAACAAAATCAAATCACTGAAATTCAGCAATTTCAGTAGACTGTAAATCAAAAATTTCAAACACCCAACGACTAAAAACTGAATTCCTTACAACAGGGAGTCCATTGCGACACAGAAAATCAGTGTGACACAAACTTGCGCAAAGCATTTTGATCCTAACTTCAGAGGATTTGGGAGGATCCACTTGTATTTCCTCTACTTTCAATGGCTCTCCTGATTTCCATACCACTGCAGCTTTGCATGTAATTACTCCTGGATTGCCGCTAGTCATGGTGGATACCGGGTTGCAAATGGGAGAATATCCTCTATCCCGGTTCTGTATAAACTCATGGATATATAGAGAGAGAGTTGAAGGGACGGGTAATAGACGTGGATTTGTTTTTCCTTGTGAAATGGTGCTCGCGTTGTTCGCGTGCTCCATTATTAAATAAATTTTCAATTTTGGCCAATTGAACTTTTACCACACCACAGTTCAATAATCTTATGCTTGTGAAGCTCGCGAATCATATAAGGGCTCGTTTGGCATGACTTTTGAAAAGTCAAAATGAGCTTTTGAGATTCAAAAGTTCTTTTTGGACCATTTTGACTAATTTTATAAAAAGTTTCTTCTAGTTAGAAAAGTTTTCAGAGGAAGCCGATCTAACGTGACTTTCTCCAAAAAGACTCTTTTTAAAATTAACTTTCAAATAAAAATTAAGGTAACTTACTTCAAAAACTCTTCTACAAGAAATAAAATCAAAAGCAAAAATTATATCAAACGAACCCTAAAAATAGCTATGTTTGGAAACCCGATCGGGTACTCACTTGAATAATTATAGATTTTCTTGATGTTATAGTTAATTCAACTATCAAGTTCGAAAATATATTATTTGAAGAAAAATTCTTGGCGTACCTAAAATTTGGTACAGATGTCTAGACCCTCGCCCTTATGTACCAATCTTTCAATGTAAGCGTTTAAAAATTTGAATGCAGCCACAATTTTAGAGAAATTTATAAAAATGAAAAATAAAGGTAAGCTATAATTCTACATTGAAATACATTTGTAAGTTGTATATTTAAATGAGAATGAATTTTTCACCCGTTATCTGTGTCAGTGGGACCCAGGTGCAGCAGCTTTTGCATATGACAGCAACGAGTTTCCAAATTTGCCATCACTTCTCTCACAAAAACATTGTTTGAAATGGCAAATTGTTAATTTCATCAAATTTGGTCAAAAAAGGGGCAGCTCCTGCTAACACGGTTACTGTATAACGGGTGAAATTTTTCTTCAAATGTGGTAAAAATGGTTACCAAACAGAGGCTTAAATTCTTTTAAAGTTAGAAAAGTTATTATAGTTACTTAAGATAATTAGATTCAGATATAGTAATAAAATCAAATGTGTTTATGTTTGATTACGATACATTTAGATTTGATTTAAATTCGATTATTCAAACGGTTGGAGTTTTTTCAAGATCCAAGCAATTAATAGCTCTAGTTGCTTTATCCCATGAATAAAGAGCCTCTGCGAGCTTTTTTTTTTTTTTAAAGTCGTGTATTTGCGATATAATTAATGTAATTATTTAATAATTTTAAATTTTATAAAACTTGTAGTTAAGATTGATTGTTGATTTTTACTAAATTTTAATTCAATTTTTTAGTTAAATCGAACGGGGCTTAATATTATAAAATAGTTCAAGATTTTGTCTTTTATTTAAACTTTTGCTTATCCTAATTTTTCAATTAATATCTTAAATTAAGATTTTTATTATAATTTGAATTTTTCCTTACGGAATATTGTCTATTACATTATAAAAACATGATCACTTGGATCTCGTGAAAAGTAAGATTTAGTGAAATGAAAATTTGAGTCTTCTCAAATCTCAATTATGTGTTCAAATTCTTGATATTTTATGAAATCGGCGATAATTTGCTCATCAAATATTTATTTATTCACTAGGGGATGCTGAATAATGGTAACAATAAAGAAATTCTCAATTTTTCACATAAACAACTAGGTTACGATGGAATTGGGCCACAAAATTGATGGACTAAAGGGCTTTAGCCCATGAGTTTTTAGCCCAGAAAACATCCTTTTCATTCAAGTCCAACACAATTAACTGGGTTAGCATTCAATTGTACCATTTTCATTTGAACAAAATAGAAAAATAGTTAATAGGAAGTCAAAATATCAAAGTCTACTATTTAATATCTATTTTTGTTATATTCATCATTTATCAATTCAACAATCAAAGTGGTTTAGGGGCACATGTTCAGATATTGAGCTTGTTTGAGCTCAATCTTTTGTCCAAAATACATTTTGAAATAGTATTTTAATGAGAAGTTATGAGTTTGCGTGTAATATTATTTTATCGAAGAATGTGTGGTTAAAAATAAGAGAGAAAAATGTATTTTAGTAATAATAGAGACTAAACAAATGCATAATCAATTCTGGCCATGCAAATAATTTTTCAGGAATTTGCAATAGTTATTAACAAGATCATTTGGTACAAAAATAAACGAAAGCTCCAAAAAGGTATACAAAAATTGGTGGAATCGAATTTTATACAGTGTGACTATTAGGTAAAAACACCAATGCAGCAGCAGTCACTATACACACGCTTTTGCTATAGCATTAGAATTGGTATGTGGTTCGTCAAAACGTACCAATCAACACTAACCGACACCAAATCCGTTGCAAAAGCAGCATTCTTTTCTCGTATGAGACCATCAGTCGTGGAATAGGCTGAATAGCTCTTTGTTAGCAATGAACTTCGACAGTTTTTTTTTTTTTTCCCAGAATTTGTCACTTTCACACTCTCTGCCTGCTGGAGATTGTACGTGTCAGATTTGGCACTTCCTGATAGTCATCCGATTCATCTTCCTCGTCTGAGGATAGGAAAGATGGCCCCATCCATGACTTAAAACCTTCGTTCACACGTCTCTCCACCTGGGGTGTGACTTCCACTGGATTTATTTCGAGCATTTCCAACCCAATATTCCTTCTAGCAAAGTCATTCTCGTCAAGAATTACAGCTGCTTTACTTCTTAGAAAGAAGGCAGTTCCTCCATACAGAACTACCAGCCCCCATGATGCGATTTCATAGCACCAAAACAACGGCAATGAGCAGCTGCTGCCCAGCGTGAGGAGAGTTGAACCAAGGATTAGTGCAAGAAGACCGAATATGATGGCAAACGTGGCGTTTAGGATGGATAGACAGCGTACACCTCCTGTAGATGACAAGTTTTTTGCAAAAACTCCAGATGAGAACTCATGCTGAAATGATGATTCATAAGAAGACGACGTGACACGACTGCAACAATAGAACATAACAATTGATATTCATTATTCATGAAGCCTCTTGACCCTTCTGTAAGCCTAACGTTTTTCAAACCAAATAATTGACAGCTTTAGTTATATTCTAAATTCTATTTAGTTCTGACGTGCTTCGTAAAAGTTAATGATTTTGAGTTTGGAATCCACGACTGTCAGCACAGCCAGTTTAACCACCTTAACATGTCATCTTAAGTACAGGTGCTACTCAAAGTAGACAAGAACAATTGGACAACTACAGTGTGGTTGAAATTCAATATGATGCAACCTACAAACTGGATTACAATACTTTCACCCACGAACTTCACAGGGTCAACGATGCAAGAAATAAACAGATACACCACGACTTTCACCCTTTAAATTTCAAAAGTTCAAAGCGAAGATCCTCACACGTGTAGCCTGACTGAATATGGAGAGCATAATTTTAGTACAGTTCAGCAATTTCAACCTTCGAAGTCTAGAATGAAATGGCCTCTGCCACTTTAAAAAAATGAAAATCCACCAAAAGAAACATGCCCCGCAACTTTGAAGCACAAAAGCTACATATACGGCAATATTCATTCTAGAAAATCCAATAATGTAAGAAAGGTAGGGTCAAGATAACATCTAGTACCTCTTCTAGAAGCACAGTAATTATTCTCAACCACCTTCAAGCATATGTGTTTTGCAGGAGCAGCACAGGCAACAGTAATTCCTGCAGGGAAGTTGGAATACGTTATGTCTGAAACCAAAAAACAACATTATGATTATAAGCACCACAAACAAGAAGAGTTGAACGCACTTTACATGAAGTCCAAGGAATCAGAAAATTAAATTGATGAAGGCAAAGTTTTATACCACACCCATTTGGTTTGCAGAATTATCTATTATGGAAGGGTCAGCTATTCCCATTCTATTTTTGCTAATAAGGAAAATGCATCCCCCATAATATTGTTTGAGAGAAATCGTGCAAACACATTAGCTACATTTAAGCTAAGGAATTCCTTTTCTGGGAATTTGGATAACCTATAAATAAGACCGACTCCATAAATGTCCTCAGGCCTCCCCCGTTTTCTCTTCTACCCCCTGCTCATCTCTGCAGTTCTCACCACCCTATTCCTGCCCACCAATGGACACCACTAGACCACCATCCCTGCTCGTGCCACCCTCCAACCACATAATGAATTGGTCCCACCTTCTCCAAATAATATTGTGAATCAGATCCCCATAAATTTCAAATGACCCCAAAAAAAAAATGCCCTTGTGGATTTGTAAGGGTGTGATTCTCTTGAATCACTCTTTCGTGCTTCCACTCGATAGATATTACTTATTAAGTTTCAGATTTAGTAAATTGACTTGGATTTTGATGGCTTTTGTGACAGAAAGAATATTTTGGCTTGAATAAAATTTGATAGTTTTAAAAATTTAGGATGACGGGATGATGGATAGTAGCAGTGCATGGAGGAAAGAAATGGAAGGTTTTTTTTTTCCCCCATTCCATGTTTCCAGCCAAAAAAAAGATTTGAAACAATTATCCCATCCTCACTATGGGTGGAATGGAATGGCCTTTCAGTTCAAGGCAATTCCACAAACCAAATGGAGCTTTAGAGGAAATTTCATTAGTTTGACAGAGAAAGACTCACTAAACCATTTAAATGAAGAAAATCACTGCAACAAAATCATCATCACGAGTATGGAACTATAGATAATTATGAACCACATATGCAATTTGTAGCCAAAATACATAACCCTTTGGCAAGGAACAATCTTTTCATCGTTGTTTGTTTATGCACTTAACAGGTGACAATCCACTGGTTTGAAATCTTAAGTAACAATTCAAATACATTAAGTTAAATTCTGAGTACCAGAAACAGATTCATATCACAATCTAAATCTTTTTTTTTTTCTCTTTCAATCCAGATTATTTTCTTGAAATTGGATCACTTCAGAGGGAGCCACTAATTACCAAGTCATTGTGTCATGATCAGCCTTCACAAGAGGACCACGATCTGAATGTCCAACAGGAGCATTTGCCTCTAAAATCTTATCAGATGCCATTGAGGAGGACCTTTCTACCTCTGTCAATTGACCTAAGGTGACAAAGCAACCTCAAGTTCGAGTCCTAGAGCATGTCAAGAGGCTCCTTGTGCATTATCTAGATGAGTTTATAACTTCATGTAGCATTGTAGGAGAAAATATTCAATTCTCATACCTTTTGTTAACTTTAAATACATTACAGAAAATGACTAAATAGGAAACTAACTAAATGGCCTGATTTCTAGGATCTGGCATTATATCCTACAGCTATAATTCTATACATGGAAACTAATATATCTCTTACTCACGAAATTTTACAGTTCTTTCCCCCTTTCCGAGTAGTTTTGGACACTTTCACTTTTTCCTTAATGCTGACTTCATAAAACATTGGCCTGCTTAAGTTTTCCAAATTAGGAAATCGTCTTCCCATTGTTGATTTATAAATACTTAGGTAATGAGAAACAATTGGCACTTCTTAAATAGACTTCAGAAAGCGAAAAAGTTAAATATCCCAATTTTATAGTCCATATCCAGATGGATCTGGAGTTCAATACAGACCTAAAAGTAGAATAAAAGCATATCTTACTCAATTCAGAAAGTTACCCAAAACTGGTACGGAGACACTACTGCAAGTCCAAAAATTACTCTGTTGCGTGATGCCCAATATCTAGATCACAAACTAAGACGAAGAAAGGACCCAAAATTTGAACATCTGATGATTGTGCTAGAAATAAAAATAAGTACATAATGGCTAAAAAAATTTAAGTTAATTAATCCACTTCTTAACAAATAAAAGGGAAGGACAAATTATTGATAGTCAGTTAACTATACATCGATTCCCATATACCACTCGCAAGTCACAAGTCAACATTTGTAATAGGCTGTTAAAATAAATGGTGATGTATACACTTAATGGAAGTACATTAAAGGAGTCATTTCATAATTACTGACCTGCAACTAAGTAAATTGCCGACACCGCGAAAATCATAGCCGATGGCATAAAAACGACCATCCAGTAATAATCAACCGTCTCCTGATCCGTCATAACAAACGCCCCGGGCAACAGATCCATCTCGCTGTCCCCGTCTCCACCGTTACCACCAGATTCCATAGTGAAATTAACCAAGAATCGCTGATTCCGAAACTCGCCGCAGAAAGGTCGTCTCAAATTATCCTTAGGAAACACTATCCTCAAGCTAATTACAGCTGAAATCAAAACAGAAACACATAATACCATCAATGCAGAGACAATTAACGGCTTCTGCAGCTTGCACCACGCCTTATCCTCTTCTCTAAGGCTCTCGTACTCGTGTTTCGGCATGAAGGCCTGCCGCAATGCATCTCCAATTATCGCCATTATTGGTGAATCTTAATCTTACCTAAATGTACGCATAGTATACTGTACAATTTCTGTATCTATATCTCTCTTATTTTGCATTTACGAGTATATAATTAGGGTTTGAGGATTTTGAATTGAAAATGAACGCCCAAAATTGGGGTTTGAATATCGATGACGAATCTGATATGCTGATATTAAACAGAACGGAAGTTTGTTTTTTTGCTTGCAGTTAGAAAAACTCGTCCTTGTCACGCTTCTCAAGTGATTTTCTTCTAATAAAATTGTAATGTAATCCCGTTTATTTCTGTAATTGCAGAACCTCCCCATATGTTTCTCAGATTTGCTAATTTAGTCCTTTGTTATTCCTTTTTATTTTTCTTAGTCTCTTACTGGCGGGATTAAAATTTAAATTTTTAGCAAAGTCAAAGTCAAAGTCAACTATTAATTTTAATTATATATTCAACGATACTAGAATTTTTTAACTACACATTTTATTTATCCCTTGTTTGGTCCCTATTATAATGAGTTTTTTTTTTATGTTAGAAGATAATAGATTGATTAGTACATATATTTTGTAAAAATATTGTTTGGCCCCCGTTATAATGAAACTTTTGAAAATAATGTATTTTGGAATAGTAATTTTTGGGAGAACATTTAGTTAAAAAAAAAAAAGAATTTTTTATTATTTATATAATATCATTTTATTGAAAAATGTACTATTGAAAATAAGAAAAAATGTACTAAAATTTTAGTGAGGGCAAAAAAGGGGCTTATTTTTATCAAAATCTGTTAAAAATCTTATTTTGATCTCTACTAAACAAGGGCTCAATGAAAAACTCGTTGTGACGTTTGGTTCAAGTTGAACTCGAACATTAATACATGGAATCTGCTTTCAGATAAATCAATCAATCACGAAATCAAAAGAAAATTAAATGGATTAATTTAAAATTAAACATTAGATTCCCAACACTATAAATATTCTTATAAGACGAGAAATATAAAAAAAGTCAAAAGAATAAAGTGTTCATGCGCTTAGAAATGCGTTGATGACTTTATGCCTTGTTGGATACCATTTAATTGGCTAGGGTAATTTCATCTGCAGCCACTTGACTTTGGAATTTTTTAATTTGGTCACTAAAGTTTATTTTTTCTCAATTGATCACTTGACTTTAATTTGGTTTCATATTTCATAATTCTATCACATTCAGCTACCAATCGCCCTCCAAAGTCCAAACTAATGAATGGTTAACGATCATAACGTAAAGAATATTTCACATAATCGCAATGTGGCACTCTGAAAACGAAGAGTAAAATGAAGATTATGATAATGTCTTTAAATTTAAAAGACATTATGAAATTCAAAGAAAAATTGAAATTCGGAGACCAATCGAAATCCCTCTAAAAATTAAATGATCTCGTATGAAATTTATCCGATACCTTGAGATTTAATCAACTTTTTAATGGAATGATTTTAAATTCTAATTCTTATGTCATAGTTTTGAAATAAAAGGCAAATAAAAAACTTTGAACACGTAGAAGTGTAATATGAGTACTAACAATGCGGAAACAATATCTAAATGCATAAGTTTATCGGTGACTTTATCGTTGTGATTTTTATAAAATGTACCACACGATCTCAACTGAGAAAATATTAACATGATCGATAATAAGTTTTGAACGTCTACCAATGTAAAAAAAATTAAAAAATCCACAATCCCAACATTGTTTTTTCCGGCCCATCCTTTTGTATAGGCCTACCAATTTGTTCATCCCTTGTCTTCTTATTAGGGTGGATCCAACAAAATTTCCAACCATGTAGTGATTAATGTTGTTGTCCTTCACGTGTTGGGAGATTCTTGCTTCAAATAATATTCTGTATAACATGAAATAGTTAATATTTATTAGAGATTTTTCATAGTTTATAAGTTAAATTTTCGCTACTCTTCGGACATGTACTTTTCAGTGCAATCTCAATTCTCAACACATACTTAGCCTCTGTTTGGTCCAACAATAAAATTTGATTAAGATTTAAATAAATTTCAACAATTAATTTTAATCACGTATTTCATGAAATCCACAGCTTTTAACCTTGCATTCCATGACCTTTCAAGATTTACTAAAAATCTAATTTTCATCTAAACTAAATAGAGGCTTACTAAACTCTACTAAATTTTTATCTACTTTTAAAATTTTATTACATTTAGCATCCGTTTGATTTTGATAAAAATCAAATTTTTAGTAGATTTTGATAAAAATTAATAGACAATTACGTATCCATAAAACGTATTGTTGAAAATGAGTTTGAGAAAAAAAAGAGTTTTACAAAATTGGAGCCAAACACGAACTTAATGAGACCTATAGTTTTTATCAATTTTTTAACAATATATTTCATCAATTTTTATTAAAATTTGCTATTTTTTTATTTTTATTTTTAAAGCTTTAACAATCACACCCTAAAATTAAGGGCCTGTTTGGTAGGAATTCTCATTTTCTACAGTAAATCAATTCTCATTTTCAACCACACATTTTTCAATAAAATAATATTTTCCATCACATCAATAATTTTTTCTTCTTTTTCAACCACACATTTCCCATCATATCA